CATTTTTTATTCGTTCATTTCCCTTCTCCGTTGATCTGCATTCACTCTCCTCTCTTTTCTTTCCAACGTCTTATTTATTGAATAAGTAGCAAATTGGTTATTAAAAAGGATTTTTCAGTGACAAAAGCTTAGGCAAAAAAAAAAAGGATGCAGAATGAAACGGGGATTTTTAACAATTTTAGTCTTTTCAGAAATCCCAGTGGTAATAAATCAGCACAAAAAGTGGCCAAATGACATTCTTGAGTTTCTCAGGCATTTAGCAGAAATTTCTCGACTAGGGCTAGCATTTTGATACCAAACAGACCCATACGTACACGCATACATATCTATTTTTGGTTTGCTCTAGTTGTTAATTATTTGTCATTCAAGTCAGTTTTTAAGCAAATAGACACGCAAACCAAATGTGATATTTTCCCAAACACTGAGCGTACCAATGAATTATGTAAACAATTTTCTTTCTCCTCACTTCTCTCCCCCCCCTCCCAACTTCCTTTTTTTTCATTTGTAAAATTTTGTTGCAAATTTTTTGGGCTAAAAGGGCAACTGAAAAGTTTCAATTCAAATTTCAGAAATAAACAACTAATTTAAGCGAGTAGCAGTAATAAATTATTCATTTTTTGGTTGCTTTTGTTACATCTTACGATAGTGATACCTCCAGCTGCCAACCAAATTTAGGTTTCTTGTTCAGTCGCTGAACAGCTAAACATTATAGACAATCGACTAATTAGTGGTCAAAATTAAATAGTCAGCTAAATGCTAAATTAGGCTTTGGATGAGGATTGATTTCATTTGGAAATTGTTCTAAAGATTATAAACATTGTGTAACAGCGATTTTGGTAATCGAAATAGTTGAAGCACTGCAAATAGCATATAGAAGAAAATTTGAACCTATGTAAATCTCAATAGTACAGGCTTGAGAATAATCGCGTGGTAACGCATCAAAAGACTAATAAAATAATGAAATAAAATTATAGTAAATAAAATTGTTACCATCAAATGTTTTTTTTTTTTTTTTTCAACTGATTATAACTATTAATGGGCACAAAGAGGTTCTTTGCCAGTAATTATTGTTTGATGGCTATGGTGTCATTGTGCTGTCTTGCAACAGGCTAATTAATCTTAACAAGCCATTTAAGAAACAGTTTTTTTTAGCATTTAATCCATAATCTTACTTTTTTTTTGATTTTTGTCTATCATCCTATTTCATTCGCTATTTTTGGTAACGTCGGTACGTTGTGCATTGATTTCACGCAATTTTTCTTTTTTGTTGCGGGGAAAAGGAAAATGAACATTTTTTCACTCATTTTTTCTTTTACCAACACCTCCAACTGTCAGCTGAATAATAGACGTATTTCCTCATCACAGGATGAGAACTGAAAGTTTTGACTAAAACTGTTTTTATAGGTTTTTTTCTGTTTTCTCTCTAATTTCATTTTAGTTAATTTCATTCGTTTTTCTTTCTACTTTCCTCATTTTTTTTCGCTCATTTCCTTTGTCAACGAGTTCTACTAAAAGTACTCAATAGGGAAAAAAAGCAGGTTTTTAATGTACATAGTTTTCACCCAATATATGCTATCAATGGCTACGTTTGAATGAGGCTAAAAAACCCTTTTCCCTACAACTCATTTTTTTTTTCTTTTTGGAGGTTTCATTGAGAAGGATGTTGTAAAAAGAAGAATAAATAAACAAATCAAAGAGAATTTGTAATCAAAGCGTCGTTTAGCTGACAACAGTTTTTGTTACCCAACAAAGAACCAAAAACTTTTTCATGAGTCATCTCGAATGTCATCAGTAACAATTATAAAAAAGAAAAAAAAACTGATTGTTACAGTACAATATTAATTGGTCACATCTTCTGAACGAATGTTTGGAGCCGACCTATACATTTGGCTCTGTAGATACCAGAAATACAAAACAGGCAAAGGAGGAACAGTGCCTTTTCAAATCAACATTCTCGAACACTACTGATCGTGAGCAAGAATACTCATTTAAAACTGAAAGGTCGACGAGAAGTTCGGCAACAGTAGTTGTAGGTATGATATTGATTTAGAAACGAATAGTACTGTAGAGCAATAAATTCAAAAGCCAGTAATTGAGCTCACTTTTTTCATTCACAATGAAGACCGAAACTGACAGAGTCTCCAAGCAAAAGCTGCGAAATGCCAAGCCAAATTAATCAGCTCTCGACTAACTTCTTGTACTTTTATAAGTGCTACATTTAATAAAATTTTATTTATTGAACTTCATGAGCCAAGTAAATAACGTTTGCAAAAGTGGTTCATGAGGTCATTTTGGAATGGAAGTACCGCATAGGGCAAAATCACATATGCTTCATCTGTACTGAGCGTGAATTAAAGCAAACAGAATTTTACTGGAAACCAACAGAAGAATTTGTACTATCCTTTGCAATGTTTAGAGAAGGGTCTTTGTCGTGGAGTAGAAATGGCCCTAAAACTGAAAACTCCTTGTGAAGTTGTTGAAGCGAACGCCGGTTTTCATAACGAAATTTCGGTTACACACATTGGCGAAAATACGGCAGAAGAAGAACTGATTTGGGGTATTGACAGTAACGTACGCGTTCCACCACGTTGTGAAGCTGTAGCTGAGCTAGTAATCTTAGAAGATCGGCAAGTCAGGTGAAATCATTTTACTGAGGTTTTGTTATCAGCAGCATAGTATCTAGAATGTACAGTTCCTACAGCAACAGAAATACTGATTGGTGTTAACTTCAGTAGCGCAAAGCCCATCTCTACCGTTTTATGTCACTTTAGAGTGACGTTTAAAAATTAGAGCGCTGCAATAAACTGATTGCCTATAAATTTATTCCTGGTGGAGAAATTCTAAAAATAGATGTCCATAGAGCCTAAACAAATCTTGAACATACGGTACATCTAACCATCTCTCCATCAGCTCTGTACCTTTTATATATTCATGTAAATTTAATAATAATTTTTGGTTGGAGCGACAAAGATAATGTTAGGGGACTGAACTCGTAGAAGGACCAAGGTTCACTGAACTGATTGACTGGTTACATTGTTTGTGTTTCAAGCTCGTATAAGATCTAGTGTAGGTTTGATCTTTATATGCCTCCTTATTTTGAATACAGAGCAGCACAGAGATATTAAGGAAAAAATGTTTTATTAAAATAGCAAGCAGTAAATCAAGGTAAGTTCTGAAAAAAAGTGGAAAACTTACGCCATACAACTGCCAACATGTGAACTTTTATTCGGGGATTCCAGCCATGTTGCTAGCAGTTAACTTGGGCTATGAATTACAAGTTATTTTAGGAACTTCAAAATGGAAAGTCGTCTCTCAGGAAGGATAATTGTTACAGTAACAAACCTAAGAGACAACAATAGTCTGGTGACGATAATTGAGGGCAATATCGCTGATATAATTCGAGGAATCGCAAATCATCCAAATATGGGTTTTTCGGTTGCTGAAGATGTATGTATTTTTTTAAAAGCAAACAACAAATACTACTTTTTTAAGAAATTTGGAATTAAAATTAAAAAAAAAGAATTGTTGTAAGCAAATGATGAAAGTGGAGTTTGCAGTTTTTTTTAAAAACAAAACTGTATCATTTATTCTGTAGCTGAAATTAACAAGACAAAGAATTCTTTGTTTTTGTCAATTTCATACATGAACAAAAAAATGGTTGGGAGATGGCCTTTGTAAAATAACTTGATGCATTTAGTTTCTGATAAGTCTGTTGAAATTCTCATTCGTTGCCATGATTTAGATCGTCACTTTTACTACAACTGGAGTTTGTAAGTTCAAATACGGCGTTGAACAAAAAGTGAGGATCACCGAAAGACCGTTGAGACAGTACTGATACAGCGAATGAAAGTAATGTTTTATGGAAAGTTCGAAATTGTTTGCTCTATTTCAAAAATTTATATTTGTAAAAAACACTGTTGATTAATTAAGTATTATTACGCTGCTGTAATTGTAAAAAACATGTTTTTTAAATAATTTTTCGTTGTTAACAGAGACTATGCGGGTTTGAATGCCAACTTTGAAACCTTTTTCGCAATCAACTCAATAATGCTGTAAGTTTTGCCTAGGATATAACGTTTTATGACCACAATGATAAGAGATTATTTTTTACATTTTTTCCAGCCGTTCCCATAACACTGCTTTAAAATTGATACACATCTCAAACTGATCTGATTCACAGATTAGTTACCAAAAAAGATTCTGATGATGCCGGTGGAAAACAAAGAACAGTTACACTGCTTGCGTTTTTGTCGAATAAAAGCAATTTGCACTTATGAACTAAACCAGCAGCTGTGAATGCCTTAAGATATTCATCTCGTGCAACATCTACCACACAGTTTTCAAATGGTGAAGATTTTATTTGTTCAGACGACTGAAGAAAAATACATGACAATATCAGCTGTTTAAGAACTCGAAAGGAAATACCATTATCATTATTTTCAGCATTTTGGATCCCTAAAAATTTTCTGTTATTTCTATCAGTAGAAACGAAAAAAGTCAAGTAGAATTGCAGGACCCTTTAATGTACTTTTGTTTGATGTTAAGTGATTTTCACTGTTGTTTGCATTTCGATTCTGGTGCTTCAAAAGATGTGAATTTTCTATTTCAAATAAAATGCTTTGGAAACTACAATTTTTTTATGATGGACAAATTTAAATTAGTCACTAAGCAAAACAGAAGGGCAATCAAAAAACCACTTTTATAAGAAAGTTACATCTTGCCCATAAAACTTTTCCTGCTTGCCGAGAGCAAAGCCAAAGTGGGTCGATGGGTCTTTCGTTCATCGCCGAGCCGACAGCCTGTTGAGCCAATGGAGGAGAGCTAAGACTCTGAAAACGTTTCAACTTTGATTGATATTCTTCGCTTATGATCAGCTGATAATTGGTCGTTGGGCGATCACCGCTTGCCCACTAGTCTACATTTAAGTCTTAAGACTGTCAGTGTTGCGGTGTCGCCCACTTCAGGCTCTTTACAGATCCGAAATATGCTGCTTCTACAAAATAATATTGTTTAAAAAGTGTAAGGATGTTCATAGGCAACGTTACTGCAGCACTGGAAGAATGCTGCTAAATTGTTACATTTGTAAATCTATTTATAAGAAGACTTGTGAAAAGGATGAATTTTGTCATTTGTCAAGTTTTGGGGTTTAACTCGTATGAAACTTCTCGAGTCATTTATTTTTTTGATAATGCCCAACAAAGCTTGACCTTTTAGTGGGATTCGAGTGCACAGCACGTATTTTAACGAGGTAACACTCCACCAGTCACGACTGCCTGTAATTCACACTTTTTCTTTTTGATACTGCTTGATGCTTCCTGTAGCGGTGCATCTGAAAATGGTGTAATGGCATTAGAACCAAACGACCGCTAACCATCCGTTAAGCCATCATTTATATATGGGCCATTCCACGTCAAATCGCACACTT